AAAAACTAAAAAAAAAACTAAAAAAAAAAATTGTTTATCTTTTCAGTATCTTTGTTTCATGTTCTTAGTTTAGTTCTTAACTTTTGCTCTTTGTAAAATTCTGGGGTGTTTAGTTTCTTCTTCCATATTCATCCATACCTTTACCTCAGCCCCATTACAACCTTGTATAAAGCCCTCTTGATTTGTGCATGCATGTGTTATTAGCAGTGGAAAAGTAGAATTTGAGCAAGCCTATGGTAGGATAATTTTCTAGAGTTGATTTGAGTGATATACTGAATTAACTGATACACTTGAGAGAAAATTGAGAGCATCCTGTGAGGAACCATTTTTGTGTAGTTAGCAGTTGCAGTTGAAATTGGCAGATCTTGTGATTTGAGATTAAGGAATTTTTGTCCTGGTTGTTTTATCTGTTCAAGACTTGTGATTTTTGTTATCTTTTGTATACTTACTAATTATTAGGAAGGATATGTTGATCTTCACTCTTTTCTTATTTCTTTGTTTTCTTTTTCTATTCTAGTTTTTGCCCAGGAGTGCAAAAAGATAAGTGTGGGAGAATTTGATAACTCATATTTTATTACACTTATTTGTTACTCTTGATTTGTATTTTTAGGATTTATTTGAATAAAATAATGATATTTTGAGTTAATTTACATTTTTAGTTTTTGATTGGGTTTAATTTATTTTCGTCAGAATTTTTCAGCTTTACGTCACTTCTGTAATTTGGCCATATCTTGGTCCACAATTGTCGGATTGACTCCGTTCTTGTTGGGTTTTTCAGATAACACAGAGGGCTACAATTATTATGAAGAGCTCGAAGCCCAATTCGGATAGGAAGCTAGTCGATTTCTTGCCCCAAGTCGGACACGTTTTGCTGAAGTTTTATTTTATTTTATTTATTTTATTTCGTATTTTAGACATATGGGCCGGTCAGAACTGAACCCTAACCCGCTTTGGGTAGGCGTATATGGCGGAAGAGTAGGAAACATTGAATTGATTCTGAATTTTCATATTTTGGGATCAAAGCACTTTCTCTGGAGCGTTCTTCGCGTTCTTCATCTTTTTCTTTTTCTTCTTTTTATTTTATTTTAATCATGTTTACCTTAGTCATGCAAGGCTAAGAACCTTTTAATCAACCTAAGGGTAACGGATTCCATGGATTAGTCTTGAGGGTCTGCGCTTTATTTTAAATCAGTTTCGTTTCCCTTCCCAACTCAGATTGATATCGTGCGATCGTGGATATTCAATCAGAGGTTCGCGATTGCAATTATGGAAAATGATTAATCATCAGATTTGATGGTTAGATTGATTGACCCTATGACCTTAAATCAAACGGGATGATACTCTGCGATTGTATGAGTAGAAGCACCGTATTTGATCAAATGCTAAGCAATCGCTTAGAAAGGGTTGTCAATTGGAAATAAGGATTCTGATTCGATTGACGATCAATCACGATTCTGATATCTTTTTATCCGAGGAAAGACGTCCATGGAACCCTAACCTTAGATTGGTTAATTTTTAATTACGAATTTTTATTCCAAATTTATATTCTGCCTTTTTAATTATTCAATCAAAATCCAAAACCCCCTTTTAATTTTCTGTCATCATAAGCGATTTTTACCAAAACAATTTCCTTGAGAGACGACTTAGGGTTTCCACTTTACGACAAATTTTCTGAACCCTAATAAAAAATAATTTTTAATTTGCGCGAATTCGACAGCTCGTGTCACTCGCCCTTCATGACGCAGTCATTCTAGGTCGTCTGGTCGTTCTTATGATCAGAGGACCGGTTCGCGCCGTCATGTCTCGCGGCGTTCAGATTTTGGGGCAGGGCGACTTGTTCGACCTTTATCCTCTATTAATCGCTTACCGCATAACCGTCCATTAGAGTATTATTACAAGCCTCACCCTTTAAGGACAACCCGTCTGAGTGCTACATCTTCGGTCGCCTTGTGCACATCTCGTGGCCATATTCCCAACATTTCCCAGCCTTTCCATCGCCGTAAATATGACGAATCCACTGATAATCGTTTAGGTGGATACCACCCAGAGGATGGTAGGCTTATAAGGTATGGCGTGTGGGACGCCATTTATGAAGACATGGGGCTGTATAAGATACCGTCTGTGTGGTGGCCTTCCTCTATAAGCTATTCAGATTTTTACACATCAAGCTCTTCGGAAACCTCTGACTCTTCTGGTAAGTTTCTTATGTTTGAGTTTTTTTTTGATTGAATGATTGGTAAGGGAATGCTGGTGCCCGGGGAGTAGGAGTGGGGTGATATGGAGGATTTGGAGTTCGACTCTTTGTTGATCTTCTTGGCGTCGGTTGAAGTGTTTGGTGATTGACTATGTGTTTGTCGCTCCCAGGTTTGATTTGTGGGTATTCTCTTGACTAATGGCGGTTACACAAGATCACGAACGCTTCTTGGCGAGGGATTGGGTAGACCCAATGGTGGCATCTTCTTCCTCTTTGTATACTAGTGCAGCTATTTTGGACCAGGTTTATCAATCAGAAGGGAATTTTGATTTCAATAACAGTGCCGAAGAAGAGGCGAAATGGAAAAGCATTGCAGTTGGGGGCGATGGCCGAGTTTGTGACAAGCCTAGCCATAGGGAGATCCCTCGTTGGCGGTTCATGGTGTACAAGACTCACTTTATAGATCAGAAAGTTAGGCTTCCGCTATCGTAGTTCGAGATGGGGGTGTTAGCCCATCTGCGGGTTGCGCCTTCTCAACTGGACCCTAATGCTTGGGCGTTTGTTCGGGTCTTTGAAAAGATATGTTGATACTTTGGGTAGGTGTGCTCTGTGCGGCTGTTCTTTTATTGCTTCTAGGTGACGCCCTCGTTGAAAAAGCTTGGCTGGGTTTCGCTGAAGGCGGGGACAGGATTGGGGTCGATATTTGCTCAGTACGCCAATTCATATAAGAACTGGAGGGGGACATTTTCTAGATTCAACTAGTATTGGCGAGGGGGAATTGCCTTTCTTTGTTGACTGGGAGAGTAGAAAAATTTGGTTTGAGCTATATTGAACCAAGGCCCATTATGAGACTCCCGCCAGTCAATATTCATTTGGGCGCGAAGCCTTGTCTCCTGAAGAAGCATTGTAGTGGACTGGTTTGTGGAGGTTAAGAGAGGCCTTGATCGGTGGCCTACAAAGAACGTGTTGTGTTATGGAGGTGTGGTGGTGATTCGTACCAGTTATGGCTAGGTTGTGAGTATAAACTGTCTTTACTAACACTTGTGTTTTTCCCATCTTGCAGTTGAGAGCTTGTCGATGGATACTTTGAGACTGGCTCGTCAGGCGGCTGCCAAGGTTAGGGTTGCACAAGGTGTGGCTAATCAGGTAGCGCCTAGTCCTGCCTTGAAGAGAAAAGATGTGGACAGAGGGAAAAAGAAAGAATTTCACCACCGCCGGAAGAAGATCCGATCTGCAGCTGACATTCCTGCTGGCGAGTTAGAAAGGAGGGCGACTGGCCCTATAATCAAAGATACTGCGAATGTGGTGGGAGGTTCGTCAGCGAGCGAGTCGACATTCGGAGTGTCGCCTGGGCATGGAGGCTCAGGGCTAAAAAGGGGAGGAGACCCAAGCTTAGTCCAGCCTGGGGCTTCGAAGAGGCCACGCCTTGAGGTACACGAGTCACGGCAGCTAACAGATAGCGACTGCCACGTCTCGGGTGGCTTTCTTGAGGATTCTGGCGACGGTGGGACCATGGTGACTAGTCCTCTTGGTGGTGAGGGGCTTTTGGCAGCGGCGGGTGCGCAGGAGGTTCCTTCTCCTGCTGAGATCCCAGTCGGCAGGGCACTCAAGTTTTCGGAAAGGGACCTTGACTCCATCTTTCCTAACCTCAGACGACCTAAGATGGTGGTGCCAGAACGAATCAATCGCCAGGAAATCTTGAATTGCACGAAAGTGGTTATTGGCCGAATCTTGGGTATCCAAGAGGTCGCCCTTGTCGTTGACAGCCGCTGCTCTGCTCAAGAGGATACATAATCGTGGGTTCGATTCCCATAGACGGCACCAATGTACCGTTGGGATCTATAAGTCCACTATGTACCCTTTGGGGATGGAGTTACTGTATGGATGATACCCTTAGCACAGGTAGAGACCAAGCTAAGAGGCACTATTCCAAGTATAAGCAAGCAATCAACAATGGGGTTAGGTGTGTGGATCTGTGACTCAATGTAAATGGGCAGAATAACGATACATAAGATACCTTCATGGTGTGCCCAAGAGGCTATTTATAAGGGAAGATGAATTGAATCTGGTGTGGGTTGGTGAGGAGGGGGTCAACCCTCCTTGGGATTTGCTAAGGGTGGCAGTGCTGGGCGTGGCAGACGCTGCTATGATAGCAGCACTGCGCCCCCTGCGCCTGGCGACGTCAGCGTGGGGCAAAAGGCAGTTTTCTCTTATGGTATCTACGGTGGCCACCTTTGGGGGTTAAGGTTCCAAGGTGGGACATTTTGGTGCTTCTCCTTAGGAGTATCATCACATTGGGGGTTGACAGTTGGTAGGACTGACGTGGATAGGGAGTTGAGGTTGGGCTTGGACCTTTGGGCCGGTGTGTTGTTGGGCCATCCAGAACAAAACCTAAGTAACAATTAATTGGATTTTGCCACGTGACACCGTTGGGATCGTCCCAGGTTCTCTTCTATAATCATCATAATCTTTTTTTGTATTCATATCAAAATGTGTTTAAACTTGCAATCGGTTCATAGATGTTACAAACAACTACAATAATATTACATGGCAAAATCTAGTAAGTTACACACTCATTTGATTGCACAATTAGTTGAGCATAGAAGCTTGCTACATGGTAATTGCTCACGTACCATATGCACACTTAATTATGCATCAAATATTTGTACAACTTACTGTATTAATTAGATAAAATATTTTAAAATGATATTAATTCAAATTTTTTCCCCAATTTTCACATGCCAAACAAATCTAAGTAAGTGAATAATTTTAGGTGCACCGTAAGAGAACTAAAATGGTGGTATAATAACCTAAGCTAATAAAAGACAAGATCGGCTGTGGAACTCTTTGCCAAACCTCAATACAAAACCCTCTTCAAAGAAACACACGTCTCTCTCTTGCCCCTTGCTTGTCCCAAAACTAAACTATGGAAGAGGACGATGAGTTCGGAGATTTGTACACAGACGTTCTCCGACCCTTTGCTTCTTCATCATCGTTATCCTCTGCGCCTCAACCCCACCAATCTTCACCTGCACCCTCTTTCATCGATCTCAATCTCAATCTCAACGCCCCACAGATCTCCTACGCCGCTCCCCACTCTGATTCCTCTGCGCCCGATCAAATCACTCCTCCCGACCGCCGCGAATCCATCCCTGCTGCCGTCGCCGTTGATGCCGTGATCGACGGCGGCGGCGAAGATGCTTCTGGCGACCCGCGAGTCCATAAAGATGAAGAATCAGCTGATGGAGACGGGGCTAGGGTTCTTGATGCAGAATTCGCGGATAGGGCTTCGACGGAACGGGTTGCCGTGGACGATGGCGGCGAAGTTGAGGTCAAGGGCGTTGATCTGGTGGACAGAGAGGTGAAATTTGATATTGAGGACGATGCCGGCAACGACATCGGTTCAGAGCCGGTTATTCCGGGGTTATCAAGTGACGCGGCAGCCGGAGTTTCGCTGAGGGTGGATGAAGGTGGTGACAACGGAGGTGAGGGCGATGATTGGGATAGTGACAGTGACGATGATTTGCAGATAGTGTTGAATGACAACAACCACATGGCAATGGAAAGGGGTGGGATGGTGGATGATGATGATGAGGAAGATGAAGATGGTGGACTTGTTATTGTGGCAGGTGGTGATCCGAATCAGGGTGTGGAGGAGCAAGAGTGGGGCGAGAATACAACACTGCCTGTGGATGGTGAGAGGAAGGATGCTGCAGAAACGGCGAAATGTGCTGCTGGCGGTGGCGGTGTGTCCTTGGTGCCTAAAAGTGGGTATGGCAATCATGGGTATCACCCATTTCATTCCCCGTTTAAGGTCAGTGTCTTGAAAGGGCATTACTTGTATTTGGGGTTTCTTTTTATAGTATGAATTGAATGAAGTGTACATGTTTTGCCTTGTAACTGTAAACCTTGATATTGGAGTTTGATCAAATGAAATTTGATGATTTAAATTATCTGGGTTTATATTTCTTTCTTACGCCTTTGTTGTGAAAAGATGGAAAATAAAACTAAATGGCCGTGACAAATAGCAACCAATCCAACTTTGATAATGATGTGTTAATGGTAATCGGGAGGCTAAGATGTGCGTGATTCCGGTTGGGCTACCTGATCCTCTTTTACTTCTGGTGTCTTCTGTCATTGAAATTTTTTTAGCAGGGCTTACACGCATGGAAAGCATTTAAATTTAATGTATGTACACTTTTTAATAATTTGTGCATGGAGTCATGCACTTTCTACTCGTTTTCTTGGTATACTAGCAAAGGCTTGGGCTCAAGGACCAAAATGTTTGTTGTCATATGAAGATGTCATGCAGTGACAATGTTATGTACGGTGTGGGAGAAATTTTTGTTTGGTGTTTACACATGGAAGTTGGATCTTTGACTCCCTTTTTTTGTTGTAAACAAGAAGTATTAAAGGGCAACCAGAGGATGTGATGTAGCAAGGATGCAAGAGGTGGTTGTCTACAAATGTTGAACCAAAAATAAAATAAAAAAATCAGTGTAGAATCATGGCATGATATATGTGTAAGTGCAATGATAGAGTTAGTGTGTTCTCTGATCTTTGGTAATCACGTGCCTCTGCATTTGGTGAGTCTTGAGTGGAGACTTAATCTTTACCTTTCCACACACCCTTGTTCTTAAGTTTCCTTAGGGAGTGAGAAGGGATAGGTGTACAAAAGGCTGTTGCTAGACCCAAGGTTTGTTGGTGCAGGTTACTGTATTAAATATAAACCAATTTGAAATTTTTATTTATGGGTTTCTTTCATTTTTTTTATTAACCAAACAAATGAATGCTTCTTCTTAGAGTGGAGTGGAGCAGTTTTACCAATTAATATTATTTTATGGTACACCTTTTAATTTTTTTTAACTTTGTGGTGAATTGAAACTGCTTGATACTTTTTGCTGATGTCATTTGAGAAAAGCTGTGAAAATTGAATATGGTGCCTCTACTAAATGTAATAAGTTACTTGTAAGTTTTACATCTAATTTATAACCCACAACCATAGTGAAAAAGGATAGAAAAAGAGCAAGAAAATGCCTCCATTAATTATTGATGCCACTTAAACAATTGTGTTGAATGCTTGAAAAGTAAAGATCATTGAATTTTGAAGACAAACTGATATGTAAAGATGCCTCATAACTTATTCTTAAATAAGTTCTTTCTACAGACTTGTGACCTCATCATATATACCATGTTATATATATAGAGATAATTTTTGGTGAAGAAGTTGGTTGTAAATTTGTTGTTGTTTATAATATACAAAGCAATAGCATTAATAATCATTGTATGTACCCTCTATCTTGTACTAATGGAGACAGATAGTAGATGATTTTGGATTCTGTTTTAAGTTTAATGGCTAGGCAATAGAAAAATGCTAAAATATATGGATAACTACTTGATGTTTTTGTTGAATACAAGCAGTTTTCCTCGTTTGATGAGTTTTACATCTGTCAAGAATATTATTCTTGATTATGAAATTACTCATGGCCTACTTTCAGGTATTGTGCCTTCTTGGCAACCTTTAATTATGTTTGAATCTGGAAAATGTTCAATTCCAGGGGAAGGTGTATACTCTCTTCAACTGGTTTCATTGTTTAGCATGGCCACCTACTGCTGTGGTGGAGCCTCATTAACAATTGTTGCTTTTATGTATTTCTATTATCTGTGTATCATGAACAAAAAAGTGGCTTCGGTGTTCATCAAACCTTTGTATATTAGTAATCAGATAACCTAATTTTTGCTGATTACTATAAAAAGGTTTAGGGGGAGAGCAGGCTACCCCATTCAAAGGCTAGGGCATGCCTCAAGCCTTGATGAGGGCTTATAGTTGTATTTATAGATTGCCTACCTAGGGGATTTGCTGACAGCTTGAATTGAACCTACGCATTTCAAGCGAAGTGCTTTCATCTTTACCTGCACGAATGCATTTACTTCTCTGGAGTTTTACTGAGACTAATTTTGATCTTAGATCTAAATTTTTTAATGAAGACGAGAACCTAGTTGTATTTTTTCGAGACAGTTGAATCTTTCATTTGTTATAGGTTCATGATAGTTCTTTCCTTGGTTTGCTTATAAATATATGATGAATTGTGGCTTATTGAAATGGAAAAGATCTAATGATTTGTTTTTATTGTTGTATAGTATGTTAGGCCCGGTGCGGCACCAATGCCTGGAGCTACTACTTCTGCTCCAGGAGGACCTCCTGGTCAGATTCGTCCAGTTGCTAACATGGTCGGTCGTGGCAGAGGGGACTGGAGACCACCTGGAATAAAAGGAGGTGCTGCCATGCAAAAAGGTTTTCATGCTGGTCCTGGACTACCTGGTTGGGGAAGCAGTGCAGCAGGCCGGGGTTTTGGTAGTGGATTGGAATTCACACTTCCTTCTCACAAGTAATGTTTAAATGTTCATGAACTAAATTTTATTTTGTCTTTATTTGTGTTTGAAGTGACTGCTATCATTTGCTTAATTTGGAAGGCATTTTTTGAGTGGTTGAGTAGCACTGTAATTTAGGAGAGAAGTGTTTGGAATTCTTAAGAAATGATTAATGAGTGGAAAGAGGCTAGATTCAGCATGTCTTTTTTCCTTTGCCTTTGGATTGTTAGAACCTGTCCGACTTTTAGGTAATTTTGATTTAATAATATAAACTGCAAATATGTTATGTCAATTACTTTTAGACCATCTCTAGTATTGTGTAAAAAATAGTTGTCAAGGCTACCGTTTGCGTCAAGTTCATTATTTACTTTTCTTGGAATTTCATTGTTAACTTGACTTGAAAATAGACTAGGAAAGGATGTGAAATGCATCAGTGAGTAGCACTCAGCTTTCTAATATGAATATAGTCATATACACAAAAGAATAAATGAATACATCTTATATTTACAAGAGCAATAATCAAGAATTAAACAATTTCCTATGAATCTAATCTTTCCAAAGATATATTAATCACTGATTCACTACCACTATTTCCAACAACTTGTATTTGTTCTGTTTTGTGGTTTATCTCCTTGGTGGTATATGAATAAAACTGCTAACTCCTACACTTCATTAATGTAGCAATGTGCTTTCTTTTTTATGAGCATTTTCACTGACAAATACCTTGCTGATGAATAAGATTTTATATTTATAATTTATAGAGCTTGTCATCACGTGCCAATTTATTCAATTTAGAATCTTACAACACAAGTGCATCTCTGACGCAGGATACTTTTATTTCCATTATTTTGATGCTTTTGTTGATGTGTGTCACTCAGTTGGTGCTTACATAAACCTGCAAATTATTTTCAGGACTATATTTGATGTTGATGTTGAGAGTTTTGAGGAGAAACCATGGAAATATCCAAATGTTGATGCATCAGATTTTTTCAACTTTGGTTTGAATGAGGACAGCTGGAAAGATTATTGCAAACAGCTGGTAATATTATTAACTTTCAAATTTCAATATTCTCCAGAAATTTAGCATAGACTAAAAAAACCCTTGCAATTGACATTTTAGGAGCAACTACGCCTGGAGTCTACAATGCAAAGTAAGATCCGTGTTTATGAGAGTGGTCGAACAGAGCAGGTAGAGGAGCTTGTGTATTTTGAATTTATTTACAAATCAATGCCCTCTCTGAAGTGTTTTGTTGCACTGATTTTTTTTATAATGTTAATCATCTATTTGGTTTCATTCCAGGAGTATGACCCAGATTTGCCCCCTGAATTAGCTGCAGCTACTGGTATACATGATGTTCCTGTTGAAAATGCAAATTCTATGAAGTCAGATGTTGGACAAAGTGATGTCATGAAAGGTTCTGGACGTTTGCGTCCACCACTAGTATGTATCTGTCTAGATACCATTTTTTTTAAAAATTATTCAAAATGTATTTGTGTTTCCAGCTTTAAAGACGTTTTCTCTGATGTTGGATCTAGATGTGTGCTTTCTTTTTGCTTGTTGGCCTACTTGCTGCTGGTCAATATACTATAACATGTTTGTGGTAGATACTTTGCCCTTCTGTAATTCTGTCTCCAAGCTCAAATAAATTCTTTTCCTACCAGCCAACTGGTAGAGCAATACAGGTGGAAGGTGGCTATGGCGAACGTCTTCCTTCCGTTGATACCCGTCCTCCTCGAATCCGTGATTCAGATGCAGTCATTGAGGTATTTGATGATTTTCTCATATAAAGCATGTGTTCATCAAATAACCCTTTGATTGTGCATCCTGTATATGCAGTATATGCACTACTAAGTGTTTTTGTGAACAGATTGTTTTACAGGATACAGAAGATGATGATTCATCTGCAGGAATCGGTGTCCAAGATCAACCAGAGGGTGGAGAACCTCGGAAAGAGGATTTTATAGAAGATCATGTAGTTGGAGATGAAATTCCAAGGTTGGAGCCGGAGTGTTTTGATGGTTTTCCACAGGATTATAATGGTCGAAAGAAAGAGCTTGCAGGAAGAAGAATGCCATTTATGAATTCCAACCCTGCTAACATACCTAACGGAGATCAGAATTTGTTCTTCCCACAGGAAGAACCAATCAACTACACTGGTTCAAGGGGCAAAAATCCTAGGTCCTTTGGTGGCAATTTCAGCTCCTCTCGTGAGGAAAGGTACTCAGTAGTGATTGTTCCCTAAGAAAATAATTTTACAATGTCAGCTTGTATCTGTATGTTTGTGTTTTCACCTCTGTTGTACTTTTGTTCCATCATGTTTGTTTCATTTGATAGGAATCCACAAATCAGTGAATGCTGATTAAATTTAAGACTTGGAAATTTATCCCACCTGTGAGTCTTTACGTATTTAGTTTGTATGCATAATGCTCCATGAACTAGGGGAGATTTAAATATCAATATTAATTAGTCAATTAATTCATGTTAAGGGTTGTTATAATTGGTAAACGATTTCCTAAATCAGGACAGCATGAGTATGGCTGATAATAGGTCACAGTAATTTTGCCTTGAATTCATTTACTTTGTCATTAATCAGTTGAATTTGAGTTGTTTGAGAAGGAATTATGAACATGATGTAGATCATAATGAAACATATTCAACATATCTTTTCTTGGAGAAAAAGAAGGCTGAATCTAAGATAAAGATTATGCAATCACTAAGATGTTGATGGGCCTAAGGAGCTGGGCCCAAGGAGCTGGAACCTTATAAAATAGTATACAAAAGAAGAGCTGAGAATACTGAAGGGAAACATACTGAAAGTTTAGAAGGGCAGAAAAGGAAGAAATATATAAAAGAGCAGTTAGTTAGAGGGAATGACACATGGCAAGTGGTGAATGGAGAGGGGGATGTTGGGAAATTAGTGGGAGGAGACACGGATGGTGAGGGAATAAAAAAATGAGGGGAATGGTGTGAGGGGGAGAGAATATTCATATTGTGGGAGTGGGGTAGCAGCTGAATGTGGTGCTCAGTAGCTGGGGTCCTGGGTTCTTGCGGTTGGAAGATGGATAATCAGGGAGCTGAAGGAATCATGGAGTCTGTAATTTGTCTTTAAGAGTCCTTGTGCCACTGTTGTGTCTTTTTTATTACTGTCATTGTGTATTTCTGCATTTTTATTCAGCACTACCATTGTCCTGTTGTTGAGTCTGTGTAATGGGTTATGAGGTGCTGTTGTTGCTCTTTTCTTGTATTGTTGCTGGTATTGTCAATGGGTATTTCTTTGGCAAATTATTGAAGTTATAAATAGTATTTCTTCAAAAAAATAAAACAGTATTTCTTCCTTTTCTGTTTGCTGTCTTTTACTGTTACATAGCTCAGTACCATCAATTTGGTATCAGATTAGCAAATTATTGAAGTTATAAAGAGTATTTCTTCCTTTTCTGTTTGCTTTCTTTTACTGTTACATAGTTCGGTACCATCAGATGTCAACCATAGGTGAAAAGCTGATTTTCTTGTTTCAAAATTATATTAGAGTAAAAAAAAAGAGTATCCCTCTTATCAGATACTTACATTTCTTGCTTGAAGGAATATTTTCATGTGTACATCCATTGGTGTAGTTAAAATTATCATTTATTCAGAAAACACACACACAGATATGTATGTGTGTGTGTGTGTGTGTGTGTGTGTGTGTATGTCTGTATATATATATATATATATATATATATATATATATATATAGTGTAAGTTACACTTTTAATTTTAGTTGTTGATCCTATTTATGTCTAACGGCATTGATTTATTAGATATGTGAGTTGTTAGATGCAAGTAAATTAATGGCTAAGATTGAGTAAGACTTCTTATTTTTACATCGGTGTGAATTTATCCTGCCCTATATATATATATATATATATATATATATATATATTTGTGTGTGTGTGTGTGTGTGTGTGTATTTTGGTTGCATTTTTTTAGTAAACTGTTGTCTGAATATAATAGGCTTGGTAATTTTGATCTTCAATTTATGAATACCATATTTGCTTTCGTATTTACAGGCAGATGCAAAAAAGAGTGCGTGGTCAGTCTCCTCCTATTACTCCTGTTCGAGAATTGACAACTGATGACAGCCAAAAAGAAGAGTCAGTTGAAAGCATGGGAGGTAGAAATAGTGCACTTTTGTCATCTCCTGTCATTAAGGATGTGAAGGAGTTTAGTGTGGAGGACAAAGATACTGAGCTTGAGGAAACTGGGACAGCTGATGAAAGTCCCAGATTGGAAAAGGAGGAAATTGATTTAAATACAGTAGACAAAATAGATATCCTTGAGGATGGGATAGCAAAAAGACAGAAATTAACATCTCGAGTTGAGCAACCTTTGCTTGATGAAGTTGATGATTGGGAGGACTCAAAAGCTGCAAGAAGCAGTGATAACAGCAAAGCAAGATCAGCAAGCAGCAGGGATAACCAGAAGCGGCAGGAGGGTTTTGAGGAAGAAGTAGTTCAGGATCCCCAATCAGCACATCTGGGTAGCAGCAGACTGCACCCTGATGAAAATGAGCAGGGATTGTATAGAAGAGAGCATGATGGAAAGCAAGAACCTGAAAGAAATCGCATGGTGCTTAAAGGTAGAGAGGGTTCATATCCTCACAAGGATCGGCATCCTATCTCAGCTCATCAATTGCACACAAATACTGATGGATTTGATAGGCAAAAAGAAAGGGCTGACATGGATTGGGCACGAAGAGATGATGATCTCTATAGCAGAAGGGTTAGAAATGATGAGCCTAGGAAGAGGGATAGGGCTAAGGTTCGAGAAAATGAGAGAAATGACAGAGAAGATAGCCTTCATTCTAGGAAACAGTTGGATAATGGTAGCTATAGGGTTCCTTATGATAAGGATGTTGGGTCAAGACACAGGGAAAGAGCTGAGGGCTTGAGGATTAGGTACGAAGCGGTGGAGGATTACCATAGCAAGAGGAGGAAAGATGAGGAATATCCTAGGAGGGAGCATATTGACAAAGAAGAAACTCTGCATGGCTATAGAGAAAATGCTAGTCGACGCAAGCGAGAAAGAGATGAAGTATTGGATCCACGGAAGAGAGATGATCTACAAAGAAGTAGAAATAACCTTGATGATCAATACGCTAATCGGCAGAAAGATGAGGCCTGGCATCTGAGGGATAGGGGTGATAGGCAGAGAGATAGGGAGGAGTGGCATCGGATGAAACAATCCCATGAAGAGCACCTACCCAAGCGTGAAAGAGAAGAAGGACGGAGTTCTGTAAGAAGTGGACGAGGAGTTGAAGATAAAGTATGGATTGGCCATGTTAGGGCTAAAGATGAACATAAAGTTTCTGAAAAGGAATACCAATCTAGAGAAGCAATGCGACACAATGAACAATTGAAGAGGAGAGACCGAATTCGGGATGAAAGTCCACATCATAAGGGGCGTGATGATACTTATTCCCAGGGAAATCATTATACTAGTGAGGAAAGGCGATCAAGGCAGGAAAGGTCAACTAGTCGTAGTGATCGTGTTGCTAATGCTTCAGATAATCCAAGAATGCATGATAGAAAGCATAAAGAGGGCTTGAGGAGAAGCAAAGAACCTGATGTTAGTGAACTTCATAGTTTAGGCCTGTCCAAGAGAAGTCAAGAAAATCAAAGTGGTCCAACCAATGAGAAGGTATGCTTTATGCCTACATGTAAAAAGTGAAACTCTATCTGGAGTGTAAAATAGTCTTTTTACATGAAATTAAGCATTCTCCATATGTGCCTCTTCGAATCATGAATGTCTAGAATTATGGTGAGTTTTGTTTTGCAATTTAGTGGCTGGTAATATATGAAGTGTTGTCTCAAGCCACATAAAGTATGGCAAGGAAGGCTTGATCATTAATGACTAACGACACATTTTCATTATTCCTCTTTCCCCAACTTCATATATTGGGAGGAGGTTGAAATTAGAAGGTATGCCCTTTTGAGGCACGATTTTGTCCTTTTTGTCTTGAAAGTAGTTCAGTGGTTCTTTAAAGAATGTATGATGAGGTTTAATAAATCCGGCAAATGTTAATAGGAATTTATAACATGCTGCAATATGGGACCTACTCTTAAGTATCTTGATAGCTTATTGCAAGCTATTATCTTAAAATTATAAGGTAATCTCCTGTTACTTATCTATGATGCTTTGAATGAGAGTTTATTGTTGTTGTGACATTATTTGATTGCATCGGAAATATCATCCAAGTGAGTGGTGATTGGAAGAAACGATGTTGTTATGGTTATCTTGTGTCTCAGCATAATCGGGTTATCACTTACTAGCTTACTCTCCTTTAGTTTATTGTCATTATTATTATTAGTAATATTATTTTCTTGGGTATTATTATTAATATGGTTATTATTGATAAAAGAGGGGGGGTTGTGTTAGCGAGTTGGCAACCGGCGTATAATATATTTTTTTTATACCGACTCTAATTACCTCTTTTAGGAGGTTGACCCCTTGGGTATCCTCACCAGCTTCAACTCTTTAAGCCGGCTATGAAACAAATCTCGAGTCAGGATTTAGTCACAGTTAGAGATCCTCGCCCTTCCTCAAAGATGTATTTGACGGGAGTGTAAAATGTTTTTGAATCTTTTTAACATGGAGTAGTAATGATTTAATTGTTAATTCTAGGTTGTTACCTGTGGGTAACCACTTTTTAAGAGATACCGTGAAAATGACCTCGCCCTAAATTGATTTATTGAAAATTGGATTTTTTATAAGAATCAAACGGTATCATTTGATCCATATATCCGATTTCACGCAGTAGGATAAGGCTGAGGTTTTGTTATTTTGTCTACAATTGTACCTTAGGCTCACTTTTGAATTTCCTTAATGATTTATTGCATTTGACATATGTGTTAATGTTCTTAGCAGGGTTCTGGTTGAGACTTTGTATACTGGGAAAAATGAATTATTGTTTCTTATTTCTCTGGAGCTTGTTTTTTCATTAGCAGTAAGCCTTGGAATTATATTTTAACTGCAATTTGCTTTTGTCTGCCCCCATCCCCTCTGAACAAAAAGTGATTGTGGAGTTCTCTTCAATGTGCAAGCTCTTACTGATGTTGGAAAATTATCATTAGATAATAGGTTTTGTTTTATATAATAGTTAGTTTCTATTTATGAAGGGCTTGAAAGGATCTGGTAACGAAGAACGTCCTGAGCATGAAATTCCAGGGCATCGCTTGTCCAAAAAACAGAGAGACGGCATGTCCTCAGATGATGAACCGCAAGATTCTCACAGAGGACGTACTAAATTGGAACGCTGGACCAGCCATAAGGAAAGAGATTTTAGTATCAGCAAGTCCTCTTCTTCCCTGAAGTTCAAAGACATTGATAAGGATAATAATGATGGGTCTATAGAAGCTGGGAAACCTGTGGATGAATCTGCTAAGACAGTTGATGTTGAGAACCAACATCTCTTGTCAGCTGAAGGAAGGGATTCTGTAGATACGGAGAGTAGGGATGCTGATTCAAAAGAATTGGGGGATCGGCACCTTGACACAGTTGAGAGGTTGAAGAAGCGTAGTGAGCGTTTCAAGCTTCCCATGCCAAGTGAGAAAGAGGCCCAGGTTATCAAGAAGTTAGAGAGTGAACCACTGCCTTCTGCCAAAACTGAAAATCCAGTGGATTCAAAGGTCAAACAAGAGCGACCTGCCCGAAAAAGGAGGTGGATCAGTAACTAAATGAGACATCTGGGGCCATCATTATTAGGCTGAAAGTCTAATCTAGTTTTGCCTTGCAAAACTTTCTGCTATCTGATCTTTAAAAAAATCTTGAACCCTGGCAAACCAGCCATGCTCAGTGTCCAATGTTGAAAACAGAACCTACTAAGAGTTTGGGATAATTTGTACTTCAGTAATGTAATCATGTAACCATACTACCTATAAATTCATTGTACACTGTATATACAGGTAAAATGTAGAACATGAACTGGTTACTACAGGTGGCGCATATTTTGGGTGTCCAGATGTGGCTCTTACTTGGATGATCTGGGTTGATGAGGATTACGTGGTGAACGTGACGAAGACTGGATGCAATGTGACGTTCAGAAACCATTTGCATGGCTGGTGAGGCATTGAGCCTGATACTGTCACCTTCCTTTTGTGGCCTTGCAGGTCCAAGTATTTGGAAAACGAGAAACATGTTGGTGAAGGGCGCTCCAAATAATGATGCTTGCTTCCTAACCGTGTTTTTTTATTTGTCTTTTTGAATCATAGATGTCATGGATTATTTTTCTGTTGTCTTCTGTAAGCAAGTACTGATTGCGCTCTTTTCTATATCTTTTTTTAATTTTTTATGCGGGAGTCATGAAACTAAAGCGTTGAGCTTTTGTTGTATCTAGAAATTAAATGACACGTAGTTATAGGTTAGGGATTTCAACAAGTAATGAAAGAAGAAAGAAGCATAATTTATTGCCATTTCCAAATCTTTGAATCTTTGAAGGGTATATGTTTTTTTTCTTGCTATATATGACCTTAACAGAAATAAGTGAAAGGAACCTACAGTTGCAAACCGAGAAGCCAAAATGATTTTCTTTTTTATAAAAAGACCAGTACATAGCCATTCGTCAATGATATTTTTGTAGTTGCTGGTGGTGCCTAGTCGTTGCCCCTGATAATAACCTCAACTAACCTTGATTTGTTCTTTTTTCGCCTAGCCCAGTAAAGAAAGCACCTTTAGTTGGTTGGCTAGTGGAGTGGTGTCTAGTGTCTTTTTAAAATGTGCTTCCTTCCTAATAGGTGCCCATGTCACCACTCGCTTTGCATATTCAATAATTTCTAATAGTAATATAGCGGTGTCTATTGTCTTTTTTAAGTGCGCTTGCTCCCTAATAATTTGACGCCTCTCTTCCTACAATTCACTATGAGGTGCCTATGTCCCCCACTCGCTTTGCATATCCAATAATTTTTTGGGAAAAATACATAAACCCTTGTTTTACTCTTTTATCACTTAGACCTCTATATTTTTTTTTTATCAATTATTTCTTTGTAATTTTTTTTGATCCAAGTTCACCTTTAGGCTTTAACAGTGTTTGTAATTGAGCTAATTTGCCCATTTTACTCTTTTATCAAATACTTTTTGTGTCTATATTGACGAAAAATATACGTAACACCTTGTAGGTTCTCTTTTTATAAGTCTTCCAAAAAAGTAGGAAAGGAAAACACATGTCATTTTAATAAAAGCCATTGCTTCGTATAAAAGTGCAAAGGAAGAAGAACAAAGTCTAACAATAGCTAAGAGAGTCCAAAAATAATTTAAGTCTTTACAGGTCATTTACTTGAAATTTTAAGTTGGCTGCAGCAAGTTATGATGCAGGCTTCGCCTTGGTGTTGTATGATGGAGGCACTATTGGTCTTCCATTGACATTTATCAATTAAAAACAATGTTTCCTCTTGAAAATAGGTCAGTTTAACTCAGATTTGGAATTCTAAACATGCATTACCTTTGTAAATGTCTCTTCCATTCTCCATTATTTGAAACATTATTTTTTTCAATATATTTGCAATTGTAAATTACTTTTCTTCGTCATTTGTTATTAGGATATTTCTTGCGTCCAATGGAAAGCTCATACTTTGGGATACTTTTTTTAAAAGTGAATTGGTTTAAGTTGAGCTGAACCTAGTAGGGAGGAGTTTAGATAGTTGCAAGTTCATAAGCTCCCCTATGATTTATTTTTTTATCACTTGTGTAATCCATAAAAGGTGAAATGGGCAAGTTAGCTCAATTATAAACAGTGGTAAAGGTGAACTTAGGTGGAAAAAAACCACAATGAGTAATTGATAAGAAAAAAGTATAGGAGGGTGTTTGGTAGAGAAGAAATTTTTTTTACTAGGGAAATTGTGAGAAAGTAAGTTTGCTGCTAAAGTTGAAAAAAAGTTGTTTCGTTGGACGAAATATTACCGGATTGACTAAAGTTTTGTAAGTCTATATTTGGTTGATGATAAAATATTGATAGGAAAGTGATATAAAATTACAAAAGTAACCCTTTTTACTTTTTGAATCTCAATAGCTTGCTATGACATCTCTCCTCCAACAAGCCAATGTTCCATCAACCATACTTCTGTCTTTATCTTTGTGAAACCCTTTCTCAGAGAAAGATTTTCTTAACCACCAAAAATGGTGGAAACCAGAAGTATTGATGAATCAATTGGATAATGAAGATGAAATCTACTCTCTTGCGGAATACACTGACATAAACAAATTCATGATTACGTGATAGGTGTCTCCTTACAACTTGATTTTTTTTATCTTCTGTATTTTCGCAACTTCCACCATCGTCCTCCCCCGCCAAAACCCCAAGCTTCTGGCGGTGGACAATCATATCTCCAGATCTGTAGATGAGAATGGGTCACTCAGTTTACACATATGCAGGGTCACTTTGGTCACAATTTTCACGTTTAGTTTTTTACTTCCCCAGTTTTCCCAAATACCACACCTCAAATAGAATTTTGAAGCAGTGAGTTTGAGCACAAAATCAACTAACATATGGTTTCCTATGCAAAATTCTTTCATAGAATTTTTTTTTATGAACTTGTACCAAACATGGTACTTTGGGATATCCACTCACACTTCCTCATGTATTCCAAAAGAAAACCTCAACCAAACACATCCTAGGAGTTAAGTGATAAAAAAGTAAATCACAAATTTTTTATTTTTTTAAAGGGGGGTAGGGGTTACTAATACCATATTCAGTTGTCATTTACTAATTGTATATTCTTAGTGAGCTTTGAATTTATTTTTTTATTTCGTTGAAAGAAAATTTAGGTAGATGGATGGTTGTCCCATTAATTTTAGGGCTAAGGCAAGTTGTTGGCTCAATGAGCATTTGCAAGAGACTTAAAGATAATTTATTAATAGGAGATTCTTATACTTGAACACAAGTCATGAGTGATGAGCGACAATATAATTTTAGTCTTAGAGATAATTTTATTAGTAATACTCTAATATTATAATCGTTAAAAAATTTGTATCCCTTATCATATGTATATAATGTTTTATGAGATATGTTATATTTATAAATTTTTTGTTTACAAATTACACTATGTACTCCAGGGAGTACATACTCCTCAAAATATATAGTACAATTTGTAAGAGTTTATAAACAAAATTTTTTGTAAATATAACCTGTTTTATATGATGTTTGATGGTATAATATTTACAGAAATATTTAAATTTTATTGGTTAATATATTGAGGAGTTATCTTTGATATTTTGGACAGTCATATGTATGTATTTGAATACTCCTATGTATTCAAATAGATACTCAAACCACGTGAGTGGGCGTGATGGTTCAACATCTCGTCTCTTAAGCAAGTGGTTGGGGGTTCGAACCCCAACTCTTGTGAATGGAAAGCATTCTGTGGTCAGCTCTTTACCGCTTTGTGCGCTGACCCGGGGCGAGGGATTAGTCTCATGGCTATCGACTGTGAGGATACCCGGATGTAATTCAAAAAAAAAAAAAATTGATACTCATTAAATTTGTAATGAAATGACTAATGCTTTTAGGCATGCATTATGAATAAAGGTGTTTGATGGAAGCATCTTACAATGTTCTGTAAATTTAGGATGTGGTAATTACTCTACCCATACTATAATACATCATTTTCATCATTATTGTACTTAAAAAAGTGGTAAAAAGGGAAAAATCAACATTCTATTATATCTTCAAGAAGTTATTTCTTCATTTATGACCATGGTAAAAGTTACGCTTCTTTTCTATGGTGTGTGAAAAGCATGAAGTTATATATCATGGGAGTAGTTTATGCTATTTGTCGCCGTGGGTAGACAAATTTATTACATTGTTTTCCATGCTACCGATGAGCTAACCTTTAACAATAGCATTTTCCACGTTCCATTCCTTATATGAAGCATCATCTATAAAAGGGTGTGGAGTTTTTCCAGCTAAATAGCCCAATATACCTTGGCTTGCGACAAAAGTCTCAACAACCTGTGACCAAAGAAACGATTCGCACCATTAAGCTTCACACTATATGGAATGGCTATAGGTTTTGGCTCACAGCTTGAACATGGGAAATCTGTGGTGTCCAAGTACGAGACACAAGTCCAGCAGAGAGGGGTTACACGATTTTCATGAGTAAAGGTGTTACGATTGTAACATTAATGTGTTACAATTATATTATTGATGATGATTACGATTGTAGTATTAATGGTGATTATGATTGCAACATTGATGACGATTACAAATTTACAATTGTATCATTGATAATTGTTACATCTGTAACATTAATAAATTTTTTGTATTTGAATTTAAATTGTATAATAGTAAAATAAGCCTCTATAGTTTAGGATTTGAATTGTTTCACCGTCTTAGCTTTTGAATTGTGTAGCAGTAGGCTTAACATTTGAATTATATAACTCATATAAGCAGGCCTTTATATTAGAGCGTTGAAAAAATTAATATAATTCGATCTGGATAAGATATAGTAGGCCCATTAGAGGCCCAATAACATACAAGGAAGCCCAATCTTATGAAGGGTCCAGAGCAAAGCGCGATGGTCAACATCGCGCGCAAGGTAAGACACGATGTCTCCATTGTGCATGGCAAGACGCGATGTTCCTATCGCGCATGAAACCGCTCTTTGATATAAGATCCAGAAATAAGGAAGCTAACTTAAGAACCAAGGCAAGCTCACCGCGCCTTTGAACTAATAAACAGAGGACAACATCAGCTCACCACGACTTTATCAAGATAACCTGATACTAAGGGATAACCTGATACTAAGGAGATAAGGCTACTTAGGTCCTAGTCTTACCTGCAGCCCAAACATGGCCAATCAGAAGCCATACCGCCTTATGAAGGCGGCATCACAACTGTTATATAAGCAGAGGGTACACACCCAGGTACATCTATCTATTTCATTATTCACATACATACACTTGCCTCTGATACTGGCTTAAGCATCAGAGTGTCTTCGCAGGTACCCCCATCTGGACTCACTGTGCTAGCAAAGGACAAAAACATACTGATTCACAACTACTCCAAGCCCAAGACAAAGAACATCATCCCCGTCTCAACCGTGTGTGATTTGGCCATATACATATTGGCTAGCCCATATCGTATTTGGTCTGATCATTGGTGCCGTCTGTGGAGAATCTATCATTTAGAACCCACTCTTCTCTCAATTTAAAAACATGGTTGATACCAGAAGCAAGTCCTAGAATGGCTCCAAAGGAAAGCGGAAGGAGACTCTAGCTTCTCGCGAAAAATCAGCTTCGTCGGTGGCACCACTTTCCATCCATTTAGATAACCCACCGATGAACCAGCACTTGCTGGACCTTATCACACAACAGAATAAAAAAATTGTCCAACAAAATCGATATCTAGCTTGATTCAAAAAAGTACAAAAGGCT